TCAGCTGTCCTCGTCAGAACTAATGAAATAAAAGCAGTTACATTTAGAAACGTCAGTTTACTAAACATAAAAATATTGCTCTATTAGCCTCGCTCACATGTTCTGTAAAGATTAAATGACTTAAATCATCACGTGGTTTACAAAAACACATTGTTAATCTCAGCAAATAAGTGCGCATCCAGAAATAACTGTTTCATCTCGTTTGACATGGAAACTTAAAATTACAAAGACACACTGAACGCACCTTCCTACCAGCTGTAACCTAACAGGAGAATGTACGTTCGTCTTCGCAGCTGCGATACATACCTGACAACAAGCCGTTCATCAATTAGATTTAACACGACGCTTCTCCACAATACTTTGATGCGGGTTCTTCAAAAAGTGCCCATTTTTAAAACGGCGGAAAGACACAGCAAAGAGCACAGTACGCACCCCTTCTTCTTCGTCTCCTCCCCTGCTGCTTCTTCTTCTTAAATTCTATTGGCAGTTTGCAAACAATAAAATGGTGCCTTACCGCCACCAACTGGTATGGAGTGTCGACCCTCAAACCCTCCCCAAATGTTTACTCTCTTTTAAAAACTGGAATAAAGCCTGATAATTAGTGATGTGTCCTGTGTGTCGAAGCTTCGATACCTGTGTCGGGTAATCTCGGCGAGTTTTCGCGCCAGATTCAGTTCAGTTCATTTTTATTTCAAACATTTCAAACATGTGCCTTCACGATCATTACAAAATATCATTCCATTATTTGTTTGAAAAGGAGTAGGCAGAAGTATTTACTTATTTGTCCCTACCCCTCAAGTTCAATAAATTTATTCGAAATAAAATGGGCAGCAAAACACAGCTGATTTCCCCATCAGTGTTGTTGAATAGATTACGTACGTGTTACATAGTTACTTGAGCATTTATTGTTCGATGGAACCAGCAAGGAAGAGATTTTTTTTTATCTCATCTCTTCTAATAAAGTATGCACACAGTACTAAATATCACGAATGATTAGTACCACAATATAAATAAACAACACTACAGATCCTACAATCTGATTTCTGTCTTTTAGTTTTTTAAAAAGTGAAGCGCCACACACTAGTTTGTGTCATTATCCAGATGTACATAAGCATGATTACACAGTTACTAGGGGTGGGTTTTGATTATCGATTAAAATCGATTCTTGGATAAGGTCATATCGATTCATTAAAATCCTGAATCATTTTTTTATATAAATGTATTTTGCCCGAAATGCCAGAATCTCAGGTTAAACCTCACAAAATTTCAACAACCACCAAACAGCTAAAGCAGTAAATGAGAGCAGGAACACAGATTCTGCACAAAGACGTAAACACAAAGCACGGAGCCTCCGACGGATCAGAAGCAGTGAGATGTCGCCTTTCTCACCCGACGGCTCGTACGGGGATGCGGTCGGGGCTGAAAGCCGACAGCTCGCTGATTCTAATGTTTCGGCGGGTCCGCGCTTTGTGTTTACACCCTTTTTGCTCAAGTTCTGAAGCTGCAGGTTTTATCTCTCACCAAACAATATTGACCAAACCAGCAGCAAAAGAAGATCCAAACTACACTTCACATGGAAGAAATAAACATGATAATTATCTCGTTTGGCTCTCAGCGAAGACGGTCGCACTTTTTCTCCTCTCCTCTCACTTATCTTCCCTGCAATTGACACCCCTTTCTCAACGAGAAGTCTGGGCTTGGGTGAGCCTGAGTGCTGAAGATATCTACCTATTAGGAACCATGGTAACATTGTTCTGGTTGATCGGAGCTGGCTTGGCCCTGACTTATCGAAGAATTAAGAAAGCAGAACTGGCTGTTCAAACCCCCACAAGGCTGCCCACTGGGATTGGAATGATGGGAGAGGTGTGAGTTTCTCAAATGGGCTCATTGAGTCAGCACGGAGAAGATCTGGACTTCTTTAAGTTGCTTGAAGACGTTTCACCTCTCATCCGAGAAGCTTCTTCAGTTCTAAGGTCAAATGGTGGAGAGTCCCAGATATAAA